TGGAGTCTTTCTTTCTATAAAAGGCATGACCACTTATCCTCTCTGAACCTATTGCCTCATGTATAAAATGTACCCAATAAATATTTATGGGCTGCCCCCCCCCCCCCCCCCCCCCCAATCCTTTGGACCTTTGTAACCCTGGCTGACTTGCTCAAGGTTACCTGGCCAGCTATGGACTGGTTAAGAAGTTGAGATAACAAAACTGGTTGGGACCTCGTAAGTTCCCCTTCAAAACAGGAATTCTCTGAGAACAGGACCATCTCCAGCCAGCACCTTAGTGAAGATGAGGGTCTCTGACCATAGGACCTGGGCACAAAGGGCACAGCTGAGGTCACGACTGTATTTCTCCTGGTTTCCTGCCCTGCCGGGCTGGGCACCATGTGGCACCCACATGGTGGCATTTGGAGCAAGGCAGACGTGAAGCCTGCTGGCTTACCTCCCTGGTGTAGGCAGGTCTCCTCCTTGTTTCATTCCACCCAGAGCAGGGACTTCCTGGGTCTCAGGTATCACAGGCTTAAGCACCCCAGGGCTTTCCGTCGGGCTCTAAATGGAGCTTCCTCCAGCTCCTGGGATCTCCCCCGCCCCCACCCCACAACTGCTCCTCCCAGTCTATGCTCAGGAGAAGGAGAAAAAAGTGGGAAAAGAATGGATATAACCTCTTCTCTCTGTCACTAAAAGCAAAAGTTATATGGAATGCAAATGGAAAAAGGAGATTGGATCTGTGAGTTTTTCCAGAGTAGAATGACCCCTGGAAAACAATTACTGTAGCTATCATTCGTGAGCGGGTTGTGGGTTTCAATAACCATTTCGCTGACTTTTTGGCAACAAGTGTGAGTTTTCCTGTTCGATTAGGCCTTTGGGAGTGCTCTTAAAATGCTATGGAATTATCTGACTCTGTCCAGGAAAACACTGATTGGCATTAATTTTCATCCTTTCCTTTTGATGTTGAAGTGAACCGGAACACTTCCTGATTTTCTCATATGTTCTTTTCTTACCACCTTTCCCCCCCTCTCCAAATGATTACAGTAAATCCAAATACAAGGGTCAAGTTGTGGAAAATTGAGGAATAGGGTCCCATTACAGGCTCAGATATCTAAGGATCCCAAATAGGAGGCATCAATGTGCTCTTAGTGAAAACCTGGATGTGTTAAGTCAGCAATGGCTGCAGAACTGAAATACCCTTGATAGAATAAAACTGGAAGAAATTTTCTCTCTATGAAATTGTAGCTAAGTAGTAAAAGAGCAAATATCTTTTAGACTGAACTCAAAGTTCATTAAAGCTGCTTAACTATAGTCTAGAGCCTCATATATTCTATTTGGTTTAAAATGGCAAAAAAATATTTCTGTTTTGCTAAACTCAAATTCAAAAAGCACAGGATAGTAAATAAAATTATTTTCATGTTCTCATGAACACTTTAGAGCATTTTGTGAAGTTTGAGCTCAGCATGCTCGCGGTACTCAAATCTGTGTTTTATTATTGTGCTACAAGTTTATTTGGCCTAATCAGGTTATGGTTTTATTGGGAGGTTTAGAGTGATTTCCATCCATCTTTTTCTTCCCCCTGTCTGTTATTATCAGCATGAAACTTAAGTCTGAAACAAAAGTCACTGAGTCTGAAACTCTGGGTATTACACGTACTTGTTGGGAGATTACGAGTCTGCAGACTTGGATGGACAGTGTCGCAACGAGCGGTACAGATGGCATCTTCTTCTTTTTGGACACTCCGCAGCTTGATAGCTGGAACGAAAAGCGCCATAATCCCGTGGGGGAGACGTGGGCTGGGTTCTTCCCTCTCCCTTTCTAACGAGCACCTTCGTTGGCTGTTTGAGCACTTGCAAGAAACACAGCTCAACACTCTTCCAAAATGCTGCTATAAACCCTGGAAAATGGGATTTACCAGGGTCCAAGTTTCTCTTTTGGGTTAGAAAAGCTGAATCACTTTCTCCAAATCTGACCTGAAGTAGGTGAGAGTTTTGATTGTTTAACCACTTGACATGGGTCTTGGAGTTACAGATAGGGCTCAGGAAAAAAAAGTCCATATATCAGTTTTCCACCTCTAGGGTGATGTCATTGAAGTGACTGAATGATTAAAAGAATTCTAATCAGTAGAGCAGCATTTGTGACTCAAGAAAACAAACTAAAAAAAATTGAGGACTCAACACCTGAATTATCTGATAGAAAACCTGGCATATTTAGGAAGAAAACTACATTACTATGATGTGAAGAATTCAGGCCAAATGGAATTAAATGACAGACAGGATCGTCAACAGCGTGGGTGATTTAGTTAACCAATGGCCTTGCAGTGAGGTGATGTCATAGATAAGAAGGGGTGTCTCCCAAGATAAAAGATAAATGAACAGAAGAGGCACGCGTGAGACAACCACAGATGAAGACAATATTAAGTAATTTTGAGTGGTATGAAAACAGTAGAAAAAGCAATGTGATGAGAAGAAAATCATAATCTTAGATTGTGAGATAAAGTGTAATATTTGGAGCCTCTTGCTTATTCATTTTTTTCTTTCATTTTGAAAAACATTGTTTTGGGCTGAGAAAGGAGTCTGGATCTTTACAGATTAATAACTCGTTTAAACATTTGCTTATTTTGCTCCTCCCGTGTTTATCAGATAAATTCTAGGCATAACCACTAATCCATAATGCTCCACCCCTAGTTCTCAAATAGAACAAATAATAAAATACGGACTGGCTGATGAGGAAAATATCACATCCATCCTTAAAACTCCCTTGTCTGGTTCTCCCAGGGCTCTTTCCTTTGACTGAAGACCACAGAAGAACCCCTGCCCAGACGTCACACGATGCCTTCAATTTATAAGGGCTGCTCGCATGTGTTCTGAATCCTCCTCATGCCTAGGTTAGTGTCTTTCAAGTACTGAGTGAATATTTCATTGATTGAATAAATGATCTAAATATGTATGGAGACCCAAAGTCAGAAAAAGCAGGAAGCTGGAAAGAGAACCCTAGGAGACCTGGACTCGAATATCAGTTCTTCTACAAGTTCAATTAAAAAAATTATGTATTGATTTTAGAGAGAGAGACAAAGAGACTTGTTGTTTCACTTACTTGGGCATTGACTGGCCGATCCCTGTACGTGCCTTGACCAGGAATCAAACCTGCAACCTTAGCATAGGGGGTCGATGCTCTAACCAGCTGAGCTACCTGGCCAGGGCATGAGTTCAATTCAGTTTAAAAAAGGATTTATTCAGCCCCTGGTTAAGTGTCCGGAACTGTGTGTGGGAAACATGGAGGAGCCAAGGAGGAGGTCTGCTTCTGAAAGAGAGGGTATGGCTGCTATTTGGTACTACGCAGGCATGCACGAGGTTACAGTGTAGCTACAGGTTGGAGCTAGCAGGGGAGAAAACTCAGCAAAGCCCTAACCCATCATTTGATACCCACTTTAACTTCCAAAGCGATTTACCGAAGATTCCACCTTTATTGTATGCCATCATCAGTGACTTTGGATGTCGTCAAGTTTGCTTTTCAGACAGGAAGACAGGCTTTCCTGAAACTTTCACATGCTAACAGCTGTAATTAAGGTAGAAGGCCTTACTTAAATAGTAATTGGCTTCCAGGACTTGGAAGTGTAAACCAAATGCTAATTCATTTAGATAGTTCACCAAGTTCCCTTTAGAGGTCCTAGCCTGGCCTTCCTCTTGAGCTATGATATGTCTATGTCCTGAGTGCAGACAGTGTATTGACTCAGTGGGGGTGATATTTTGCAAAAATCTTGCTTGACTCCCAGAGTTTTACCTTTGAGCTCTCTAGTAATGACTAATGCAAATGTATTTAAAAGCACTGTGAAAACATAAGTAAAATTCTATGGCTAAATAGATATTGTTTCATCTCTTAAAATGTTTCTTCTTCCGGTCTATTCTAGCTCATCACACTATACAACAGATGCTGTGGCTTGCTGCTCGCCACCTTTCCAACATGGGCATCCAAATAGGCCTGTACCAACATATTGGTACATATCGCACCAATTCAACAAATATTTAATGAGGGCAGTGGCTGGCACACAGAGGCATTCACAGGTATTTATTGAATGAATAAGCGCCAGCTGCACCTTTGAGTCCATACTAGGTGCTACAAGCTAGGAGGTGGGGTCTGCCCTCAGGGATTAGCAGTCTCTAAGGGGACGAAGATGTAAATAAGTGAACCATAACTGAATGTAAGAATCGTTACATTAAGTGCCAAAAGAATCTCTAACTATGCGCGGGAGGTAGAGCTCCCTGGGAATGGAAAGGAGATGCAGGGGGCGGAGGGCGGGGGTGGGGCGTTGGGGGGCGGAGCTTGAAGGAGGAACCGTAAATGTTCCAATTTTGGATTTTGCCTCAAATCCGGGTAGCTCTGGCTCCAGACTGAGTCCCAGGAATGTGGAAGGGCCCCCTCCTGTCAGTCGCTGAAATTGTGCACGTGCTAATTTTTCTTTTTGCGGGGGGGGGAGGGGCTGACAACTTCCCATCTGTGCATTAGCTCACTTTGCAAATATGAATATTATAATACGGCAATAACCAATATATTACGACTCATTTTGATGCTGAAGTTATTGCAGGAGTATTCAAAGGGGAGTGAGATTAAATTTTGCCACTATGCCATCCAAAATATAAAATAAAGTAATTTCACCGTAGGAAATAAAAAATAAGGAAGACTTCATTTGCAGAGCCATAGCGACACAAATATTTTAAAATGAACAGGACAAGCAGATTCCTTTTTTTTTTTTTTTTTTTTTGCGTGTACTGTTGCTCACAGCGAGACAGACTGCCGCGCTACCAATAGGACCCACGCCTCACCCAAGCCCGCAGGCTCCCCAGGAAGCACGCACGGTCTACAACCCGCCCCCTGAAAAGGAAAGTACGCCAGGGACGCTCTGGGTGTGTGAGCCGAGGGCTTAGAGAGGGAAAGTAACCGGAGTTGCCCGTTCCGGGCGGACCCACCCCCACCCACGAGTTTCGCTGGGCCCCGGCCCCGCCCCCTTTATTATTCTGCCAGCAGCGACCGGAGCTGAAACTTTGTAACCCGAGCGCGCTGGCTCCACTCGACTCTTAGCCTCTGTGCAGCCGAGAGGGCGGCGCGGGAGGTGGGACCTGCAGGCGGGAAGGCTCGGACGCCAGTGCACGCCGAGCTGGGACCCGGGGAGAACACGCCGCTGCGTAGAGGTGGAGCTGGAGTAGGAGACGAACGCCAGGCCCGAGGACCCGAAGGGGTGGCCCCAGCCGTAGGCTCAAAGGAGCAGTGGGGAGCGGCGGGCTAGGAGAGTCCAGGGGGGTCTGGGGTTGCGGCCCGAGTTTCTGAAGCTGCCATCACCCAGGAGTAGCAGCTGTGTCGGGGGCTCCCGGCGGTGGCGGAAGCAGAAGGAGCTGCAGCTGGACGGTGGCAGCTGGAGGAGCAGCCGGCTGTCCCGTGTGCCGGGGGGAGCACCGCGCTGCCCTGCGCTGGGATGACCCACTGACAGCAGCCATGCATCCTTGACGGGGCGCAGGGACAGTCGCACGGTGAACCCTTCGGGAGACACAGTGGACGCGAGCAGCAGGACTTTACCGCCGACTCTAGCTCAGCTAGGAGCGAAGCCTTTTACCATGGAACCCGTGACCAAGTGGAGCCCCAAGCAAGTGGTGGACTGGACTAGAGGTGAGCAGCCCCGGGGCTCGGAGTCTCCAGCCCGGGAGATGGGGCCAGCGGGGAGCTGGGGTAAGGGTGCTCAGTCCCTCCTGCGGGCGAGAAGCATTGAGAGCGCAGCGCAGGGCGGCGACAATGCAAACTTTTTCAGAGTGGCCAGTGTGCCCCTCGCTTCTGTCCCTGCTTCCGGGGGTGTGGGTTGTGCCAAGCCGAGGGGAACCCCATCTTTAAACCAAAGAGTGAGGATGGCCTTTCTATTGAGGGGGGCGGTGTTCGGGATGCCTGTGTCGGACTGGGGGGGGGGGCTCTCTCTGCACCTCCTGGGTGAGGTGCCCGGTGCCCTGGCTGTGCGTCCCGGAATGCGAGGCACAAAGCGCCTTTGTGTGGATGACTCCCCTCGGACCTCGTAAATGCCTCCTGCCTGGAGCGCTCGCAGGCATGACGGGGCAGTTGGACAGGTACAGGGAGACTCCGGCCGGGCGCCGAGCCTCCGTTTTTGTTGGAGAAGGCGAGAGGGCAGCGCCGGAGCCAACGCTGAGGCTTTTGCGTCGGGGAGAAACTGTGAGCCAGACTGCCCGGGACTCGGTGACTTTTGCGATGGGAAGGCGCCAGTACCCCTGGTGGCGCTGCCTGTTTAGGCCACAGTGAGACCCTGGGAAGAAGAAATCTGTTGTGAACCACTGGCCTGACTCATGCATATTTGGAACGAGGGAAGCAGTAGGATGTGAAGGTAATGGATGATGGAGCAGGGGTAGAAGCTTGTATACTCTGGGCTGTCGCGGTTACTGTTTTACTCCCTCCCAAGATTTACAGGAGAGAAAAAAAAAAAGGAACAGAGGTTTCTCAGGCCTCTTTATATTCTTCCAAGAGAACCAAGTCCACTAAGAACAATAATATTTTCATGGGTCCCTTACCAGCCCCCTCCCCGCCCCGGTCTCCTGCTCCAGCTCAGCATCTCTGTTCCAGTTACAACTCCCTTTTCTCTTTCTTCTACCTGCTCTTCCAGGTGAGGAACGAGGTCCTTTCTCAATAATAATAACTAGAGTTGTATAGCGCTTTACAGTTTGCTAAGAGCTCTCTGTCTGTTATTGTCCTTGGTCATCACAGTAAGCCGGGGAGGTGGGTAGTAACACTGGTAAAATGAGGTTATCCCTCAAACTGTCTCGCCCGTGGCTGGGAGGCAGCGGACACCGATCAGCTTCGTCTCATTGCGCAGGCCTGCAGTAGGCAGAGACCACGTGGAATGGGATGCATGGGCGTGTCAGTGGGGTGTGTCTGGTTCTTTCCCGCCCTTCTGGGAAGGCGAAGGGATACATACACTATGCCCTGAGCAGAGGTTTGTCGAGTGACCAGAATTTCCTGGGCTCTTACTTAAAACGAAGTTGAAAACAAGTATTTGTACAGTGGGTAGAAAGTGAATAGCATTGTCCGTGCTTGGGACCAAACACTAACGTCAAAGCCGAAAATACCCAGAGCCCGTTTTGAAAAGGGTTTCTTCCCCCGTTCAAGACACTTCTAAGTTCTCCACTTGCCTACACTGAGTTGGTCTATTTTACTTGCGTATGGCAGAGACTACCTGCTGAAGAAACTGGTGATTTTGGCAGTCTTTGCCTTTGAGAGCTGCTCGGTCCGACAGGGTAGCCAGCCGCTACGTATGGCCCTTGAGCCGTTGAAATGTGGCCGGTCAGAACTGTGATAGTCTGTAAAGGTCAAGTACACATGGCATGTGTGTGCACACCATCCCATTAGTAGTTCTTAATCCTTATTACACGTTGAAATGATAGTATTTTGGAAACATTGGGTTAAATAAAATTTATTTGCAAAATTAATTTCACCTGTCTAGTTTTACCTTCTTAAATGTCCCTCCTAAAAAATAGCACACGAGGCTCACATTTGTGGCTTGCATTTCTATTGCACTGCTGTCCAGTAAGGAAAGGGTTACAGCTTATCACGCTGGCTTTCCTGAGCCTCTGCCAGCCTCCTTGATAATGTACAACCAGAAAAATGCTAACAGGCACACAGGAAGATTATGGAGTGAGATCTTCACACTCTCCAGATTTGTCTTTTTTTTTTGGTTCCTTTTTGGATTGGGAGAGAAGTGTAAATTCACATCCTGTTATGTTTGTTTAGCATTTAAAAGGAAGAGCAGACGCAAATTATTTTGGTATCCAGTTGCCTTGACGTGCTGGCTTGGCCAAGATGGCTTTCAGCCAGGGAAACTTTCCTCCTGACGTGACAGCGACTCCGGCTGTTCCAGTATCTGGGTGCCCGGAGCGCTGGACGCTGATTAGGTTACATACCTGTGGTTAGCACGTGACAACTTTGTACAGCAAGCCGGTGCCCTTTTGGACTCTTCGGTACAGCTTCAGAGCATGACCTGGATACTTAATGTACGAGGGTCTAGAAAGCCAAAAGGAGCAAGTACGTGGCTAACTTTTAGATGGCAAGAGGCTACACACTCCCGAATTCCGTGGTGCAATGCTGTCCTCGGATAGTTCCCGTAGGAGTAGTGTGCGAGGATTTGACTTTTGAAATGAACTATTGATGTATGCAAACTTGTTGGCTTATAGGACCATTTTCAGCTCTCTTTGCCCTCTACCCAGCCCCCACTTTATAAATACATCCTACTGATAAGCAGCTCTTCACGTAGACCTGGCCACTCTTGGTGGCCCAGGAGTATGGCTGCAGTGACCATGGGCACCGTGGAGAGCTTTCCGCTCCGTACTCACGTTGATGTTGTTAAGCAGATGTATGCATTAAGAAAAAGGTTGGTGTCTACAGAATGAATTGATTCATCTAGTTATTATTATTTATTTATTTGTATTAATCTTTAGCTATCCTGTCACCGATGGATCATAGTATCAGTAGATCCTCACTAAATATTAGCAATGTGTCAGGCACAGGGGCTACGCAACCTACAGGTGTTAGCTCATTTAATATGCACAGCCAGTTGAGATAGGAACTATTATTTCCATTTTGCAGCCGAGGAAACTGAGGCACAGGAAAGTTCAGCACCTTGACCAATGTCACACAGCCGGAAAGTGACAGAGAGGCGTTTGACCCCAGGCAGTGGGACTTCATTCCATTCTGTCTGCTCCGGAGGTTCTGGCCAGGGTCATGCCTGGAGGGCTCGGGAGTCCATCACAGGGGCGACCAGACCTGCGGGATTCCGGGATGTGTGTTACTGGCGCTGTGGGCTCGTGGGGCCAGCTGCACGGTGGACGTGTGCCTTACTCCACATGTGTGGTGTGTGTCAGGAAAGTTGTTTGTGAACCGAATTAATCCACGGTTCAGTAAAGGTTCCTTAATCATAATAACTGAAAAGTTACCATAATAGCTGTAGCATTTATTAAGTGTCAGATGCTGGGTTAAGTGCTTTATTTAGGCTTCATTTAATCCTCGGAAAACCCAGCGAGGTGTACAAACCATTATGAACCCATAGGAAAGATGAAGAAACTAAGCAGAGAGAGGGACAGAATTTGCTCAGTGTCCCATATTTGTGAGTGCTGGTGCTCTTCAGTGCTCTTCCCCCTCGGTCCCCTCTGTCACCTCGTCACGTGGCCTGGACCAGGCAGTGGGGTTTGGTGGTGGCACTGTGGGCTCTGGAATCAGACTCTGGGTTCATATCCCAGTCCTACCCTGGACTGTGTGATCTCATGTAAGTTCTCAGTAAATCACCACTCCTTGTTTTTATTGCTTCCTCTCTATCCTATAGCTCCAAGATGTAAATGGTCTGTCCTGAGGTTGATGCCTTCCACTCAGGGGGCAGTCGGTGCCTGAGAGATTTCCCTGCTATCAGCCCACCACTCGGAGGATGCCGGCCAGCACTTGCAGCTGCCGGAAGGGTCTCGGTTAGCCGAAGCATAGATGCTTCTTTTCAATATCGTGAACCTTCAGAACGTATTGTCTCAAGTTTTTTCTTATAGTCACCGGACTTCTAGTGAGCCTAGCTAGCCTTAGGACCGACTCTTGCTGTCAACAGCTGACCCCTGTGGCACCTGCCTCACCCAGGAGATTGTTAGAGATGCAGATTCACAGGCCAGTGAGTCGGAATCTGCATTTTACCTGGGTCCTGGGGGACCGGTGTGCTCAGTACAGTTTGGGAAGCACTGGTCTATCAAGCAGGTGCAAACGCGTCTTCACACTCTGTTGGTAGGTCCTGCTCTCCAGTCTGACCTGGGCTCAGTCTCTTTGATTTAAGTTCTCCAGTGATGACACTTAATTTGAGGATGCTTGACCGCCAGGCCACTGAGTAAAGCAAAAAGTTCATCTTAGGGTGTGTGCTTATATTTATAAGCACCACCTAGCAACAGCATCAGGTAATTCTCAGCAAACTAAACGAGATCGTTCCTCTGAGATTTCTTACATATTCCTTGGGATTGAAGAGTTCTCATAACAACTTTTTTTTTTTTAAGACGAGTAGTAAGAAGGACATTGTGGGGTGGTCAGTGGGCTGTGGTTCAAGTTTGTCCCCAGGGTCCTCAGGGAGACTTTGAAGGATGAGATGAGCTTTGGGCCAGTGACACGGAGTTGATTTGGGTTCATCACACAGAGTTGCTTTTGGGGGGAGATTTTATGGTTGGTGGAAAAGGACACTGCATGTCATTCAGGAGTAAATGACCAGGGCGGGTCTCAAAATCCGAAAGTATGGGCTGTGCCAAGGCAAGGTGTCTCAGTCTAAGTCCTTGGAGATTGGGAGGTGACCCCTTCTTGCGCAGGCCTCCCCTGCCCACCTCCCTTTGAGTTCACTTCACACACTGAGGGTTGCGGGGGCCTCTCTTTTCTGTGTCACCACTTTGGTGGCACTGCCTTGGCTTTTGACCCTCCCTACTCTGTGGTCTGCAAGCTCTGGGACGTTTCATCTTCTCACCTTGCTTTCTCTCTTTACTCTCCCTTTGTGCTGTTTCTGGAGTTTTCACCACTGGCTTAGCCATACTCTGGGCTCTTAATGAATAGAGCAAGTTTTATGAACTCGGCCTCTGCAGAGTTCTCCGCATTTGTTCCCACTTGAC